GGAAGAGGGAAAATGAGCTAATACCAAGGGCTCAAGTAGAAAGAAAATGTTTTGAGAATGATGATGGCAACATATGAACAAATGTGCTTGACACAATGGATGGATGGATGGATGGATGGATGGATGGATGGATGGATGGATGGATGGATTATGATAAGAGCTGTATGATCGCCCAATAAAACGATGTTTTTAAATAAAATGATGATGCCAACATATGTACAAATGGATGTATGGATGGTGATAAGAGCTGTAAGAGCCCCCAGTAAAATGATTTTAAAAAAGGAAAATGATGATGGCAACATATGAACCCAGGTGCTTGACACAATGGACAGATATATGGATTGTGATAAGAGCTGTAAGAGACCTCAATACAATGATTAAAAGAAAAGGTCACTAAGATTTCAAGGTTTTTGTTCATCACTTCATGTAGTCGATCCTGACTGCCAGGCTAATACACCTTTATTCCCCTTTATTAATGCCAGGTTCTCTGAATTTCTTTTCATGCAACCATCTTTCCTTGTCTTTATAACTGGTAAATCTTGTAAATTTTGGAGCCGGACTTCAGTGGTAGGAAAACCATGATAAATTCCTTAGGCATATGCATGTATAAAATATATTGGAAAGATTGTACCTAGCAAGACAAAACAGATTCCCAGCAAAAGCATTTCAAACATGTTTGACCATCCTAATAAAAGTATAAAGCTACCCATTAGAAGAAAATAAGAAGATGGCTTGATACAATCTAATAAATATAAATGCATATCAACTTGTTTCATCTCTATTTTGGACTCTTGCAATACATTCAAGGAAATTCCCATTTCTTCTGAGATAATTTTGTTCAAGAGTTAATGCATTCTGCCCTTTACTGTCAGTCTGAGCCATCCCCAAAGTATGCAAAAACACAGTCACTATGGGACAGCCAACCAATTATGCAAATTTTGATCATTCAGAAACTCTGAGCATCTAAATAGGTTCCCAAACTTGTTTGGCCCACTGCCCTTTTCAGAAAGAAAAAAAACAATTACTCAGTAGCTGCTTGACAATTTAAAACTTTCGTAGTCAAGTCCATATTCCAGGACAGTAGCATATCTGCTTTTGCAGCCACCCTGAATAATTACAGTGCCACCAGGGGGGCAGTATCGCCCACATTGGGAAACATCTAAATGGACACGCCACAGTGCGAAGTCTATGGGACGCCAATTACTAGTAAGCATGAACATCTTGTTTTGTAAATAGGTCACTCTTAAGATGGGATATGCCTCAGTACATATTTTTTAATATCATGTACATATCAAGATATGCTACCAAATGTTTATTTCAGACTACGTACTAGGATTCTTTGTTTGTCTCCATTTTTTAAATCTGTTACAAATGGTTGTGAGTAGCCTGTGAAGAATCATGTAGTTTAAATTTGTTAAAATTAATAAATTTATTATTAAATAGTTGATCTCATAACACAGAATGCGTACAAAATTTATTTCTATGATTCAAAGTTAATATATTCCTCTCAAAGCACTTATGACTTTAAGTTAGATAGCTAGGACCCAAATCCTATCTGTGGTATTCATTCGCTGTGTGATTTTGAACAAGTTATTCATTTTCTGTGTCCTATTTTCTCATTTACTGAAGGTAAATGAGATAATAATAGCACCAATTAGTAGAGAGTGTTGTTGTGAGAATTAAACATGAAACATTAAGAGCGGTATGTTGATTCAAATAAACATTAAACAGAAATTATATTGTTAGAACACTGAATGCAAAGAATAACTGAAGCAGATGCTAATTCTTACATACATATGTACGCTGATAATATCAGGGGAGAGGAATGCAGGAAGTGTATGTTGCTTTCCACAAACAAAGAGAACATTTCCTAATGTGGACATCACATGTTGCACATGTATCTAAAACTACCAGAACATCACAGCACTTCTTTCTTATATTGCTATGATATAAAGAATGCATTCTCTACATTTAGAAATAACTATTAAAATTGTAAATTAACTGAATAATATATAAATTCTGGAATCTAAATGAAAACAAATTTTAGAGTGATTTTTATAGGTTTCTTGTGAAAATTAAAAACCATCGACGTTGACTTCAACAATTTACTGCGAAATCTAGTGATCATATATAGTGACAATATATAATTTTGTCACCAAATTTCTGTTCACTCTGACAGTGGTGTCATCCTGCCATCTACTGTCAAAAGTCATTACTGCAGGATTTTTTTTTTTTTGGATACCAAAACTATTTTCATGTTTCTGGCTTTCTGAATTTCCCTTCAATTGGAATCATACAAACACAAAAATTTGTACTTTACAAGAATTACTGATTTCAAGAACCACGAGATTGTTAAGTAAACTTTTGCAATAGTCAAAAAAAAAAGAAACATGAGATATAAAATAATAATATACCAAGACCCAATACTGGCCAGGTTTACAAAATCACATATAATAAATACTTTTCTATAAAGATATAATGGAAGTTTGAACTTTACAGTGCTTGCAAGTATTTTGACGGACAGGCGGAGAGCTGAAGAGAGACTTGGCTTCGCTGAGGAGACTAATGGCTGTGTGCTGAAACGGATTTACAGTAACCTATTAACTTCCCTAACAAAACCTGAAATTGCGCATGGTGTCTGTGAGTTCTGTGTGACCACTGCAGTGAATTCTGGACCCAGCATAGGTGTGAGAATAGGTAACAAGGAAGGACCATGCAGGCTTGGTCAATAAGGACACCAGAGGGGGTCAGAGGTGGCCCTCCATTGCTGGGCCCCACAAACAAAATACTCCAGGACCCCAAAGAACAGAAAGAACAAGAAAACAGAGTGTCTTTCTATGCACACATGTTAAAAGCCACACTTGTTTGTTTGTGTGAGAGCAATGGAAACAAGTTGCTCATGATCACGGGTTGCTCTGTAGTTCACGATTTGCCCAGGATTAAATCTGGCCAAGGCAAAGCTAGTTAGACCTTCCCACTTCAAGCACCATGATTTTTAATCAGACAGTGTCAACGCAGTAATGTCAGGGTTCTTTATGATCTAATTGTCAGGATGAGATGATTGAACGATTCCATTTGAAATCCAATTGTTGGTAACATCTGAGGAATCCTGTTGGAACCATGAAGAAACATGGATTCCTTAGGGAGGAGGAAGATGAGCAACCTGCTTCTGTAAGACTGACATTGGAAACACCGTCAGCCAAGTCTCTGGTGTTCTGAAATATCCCTGTGAGATGGAATGACTTGATGGCTCCCACTTGGGAATTATAAAAACATAGTGAAATAGCATGTTATTTCTGCCTTAGCATTCCTACTAAGTAAGCATTGCTAGATGAACAGACAGGCGGCTTTTTCTAAAGACACATAAGCACCAGAAAGATTGTTAAGTATTAGAAGTCAAAAAGTTTGTTTTCAGGTCTGTGAGCCCCGCCCCTGCCCCCGCCCCAGGGTGCAGTCACCACGGTTCTCCTTCATTTCACTGAGTGAGGGCGCTTCCGACATCTGCCTCTAGACACCCTGGTCCGTGTATCCGTACCCCCTCCAACTACCACGTGCACACGAGCTCGCCACCTCTACGCGTGCCCTCAAAGCAGGTGCCCACACTGTGGACAAGGAATGCTGGACTCTCGATTCTGGACCTGAGTACATTCTTGATTGTCCTGGGTATTTCTCTTTGACCACCAAAGAACCTTCCTCTTATCAGCAGAGACACTGGACAAGGGCAGCTGGAGGGTCAACTTAAAGGCCTCACGTCAGAATGGGCATGACCGTAGTTGCAGGATGGAGCGATGGCAGGAAACCACACCACCCAAAGGTCAAAAGGTATCATGATCAATGTTTTTCTTAGCATGTGAACCCAGGGTCTTGTTCTAAAATGGCAAGTTTCACAGTCCCCATCCAGGTAAATATGGCAGGAGGCATAGGTCGCTTTCCTGATGTACACCTGTCTAAGACTCAGGTGAAAACTGAGCATCCCATGACCCGCGTCTTCAAAGACAGAGACCAGGTTTCCCTTCATACGTAAAGTGGCCATCCTTAAGGTCTATGTTCATTCCGCAAGGGCATGAACATGGCCAGTATACGGGGCCTACCTTTGTTTCCCACACTTACCATGCTGTTCATTTTTGAGGATGAGGAACTCGTTCTCTGCTTCCGCAGACTGTTCGCTTCCTCCACGTTTCCCTCTTTTGGCTTCAAAATCATTCTGCTACTCCCTGCAGTGCCCTCGGATGAGGACCGAAGTCGCCGCTCTAGGAATCTTCCTTCGCCATACGGACTGAAGCTGCTCGCAAGAGCTATCGAAGGAGAAGCGAGTGCAAGTGAACATAGATCCTTGAATGTCACTTTGTGAACACAAATGGGAAACATACAGTCTGATTTAAAACTCCCTATGGCAAAATACTTTTAACTTTTAAAGTAATAATGGCAATTTACTTTGCCGAATCGTGTGATCTCTTTGAAGGACAAATAGTTTAGAGCCATTCTTAGCAACTTCCTCTCTTGCATAACATTTATCATAAAAGCAATTCGTGTACCGATGATCTTCAATGTGTATCCAGAATCCTGGCACCCCCTTGCCCGTAAAGCTCCAGTAAATATCCCAGTGCAAGCCCTACAAACTCTCGCCTAGCTTGAAGCAATAGCCAATTGTCATCGGTCAATTCTGACCCATGGCACTGCCACATGTATCAAAGCAGAACTAGGTTCCAGGGGGTTTCCAATTGGCCACTTTGTCACAATACGGTCACCAAACCTTTCTTGTAGAGTGCCTCGGGGTGGACTGGAACTTCCAATCTTCCAGCTAGCACTGAAGTGTGTTAAGAATGTTGGCCACCCAGCGTACCTTAACAGACTTCTGGCTGTTTCTAGAACATGGCAAGCCGGCTCTGTTCCACGGGCTTTGCCCCAATTATACTTCTGCTATGTGTGTGTATTGTTTATTTCAAAGCTCTGCTAATATGTTTCCTCCTCATTATCTACTCGTGATATTTAAAACGGCAGATTATAACTGAACCCTGACTTTCTGATTATTTATTCTGCTTTAAGTTCATCCTCAGAAATTCTCACAAAATTCTCACTGAGGACGTACAGTGACCCTAAAAGCAGGGTAGAGCTGTCCCTGTGAGTCTTGAGACTGTAACGCTGTACGGGAACAGGAAGTCCTAAAGGGCATCTGGTGGTTTTGATCAGCTGACCTTGCAGTTAGCAGCTCAACCTGTAACCATTATGCCTCTGGGGCAGCATTGATTTATTTGGATATCAATTTTCTGAATTATATGTAGAATGTAAGCTTCATGAATTTAGGGTTTTTTTTCCCTTCTGTTTTTTACACTGCCTTATCCTTGCGGCCTAAAGCAGTGCTAAAATAAAACATCTATCAGCTGATTTCATGACTTCTGGACAGAAACAATTACATCAATGAATGACAGTTCTTTTCAAATAATTTAATATGTCAATAATACAAGTCAAATTATCCAGGAACTCAGTAGTCTATTAATTATGATGTAATTTTGTGTGCAATACATTCAAATGTTTAAGTAATAGCAATGTGTGCTTTATGATAGATGCATTAATATGGAATTTACTGTTTATACCAACTTTTTAATACAATAAAAAGTATTACTTATCTGATGTTCCAGAGTACTAACTACCAAGTCAGAAATTCAATCCAGCTAGTTTCTCTGTGGAAGAAATATGAGGCTCTCTGCTCCATAGAGACTCTATATGAGGTTGATGCGAGTCAGAACCATGGCAGTGGTTTGGGGTTTCGGGGAGGGGAGGTTCAATGTGATGCTTAAATTGTAAAATCACAAAATTATAAAATCCATAGAAACAGGAGTCAAATAAACTATTAACACCTACTGCCATGGAGTTGACTCTGACCCCTAGCTGCCCTATAGGACAAAGTAGAATTACCCCTTCAGGTTTCCCAGGCTTCCTGTCTTTACAGGCGCATAGAGCCTCATCTTTGCTCTGCAGGACAGCTGGTGAGGTTCCCCTGCTGACCTCGTAATGGTTAGCAGCTCAATTCTTGACGCGGGATACCGCCAGAGCTCCTAGAAGGCAAGTAGTTCCAAAAGATAAGAGACACTACACGCTCGGCTGCTAACCAAAAGGTCTGCAATTCGAAATCACCAGCAGCTCCAAAGGAGGAAGACTGGACTTTCGACTCCTGCACAGAGCAACAATCTCAGGGGCAGTTCTCCCCTGTCCTCTAGGGTCGTACTGAGGGGACATCGACTGCACAGCAGGGAGGATACCGCGGTCTTCCCAGCACAGGGCCGGGCAGTGTTTCATCCTGTTGCACACGGGGTCACCGTGGGGCGAACCCATTTGATGGCACCTAGCAACAATAACAACAACACGAGGCCTTACCCTTGCAGATGCTGCCCATGTATTTGCCTGTCTTTTTTCTGTGATATTATTTTGTCAATTTGTAGCAGATGTTGGCTAAACAGCTAAAGTCCAAGTAAAAGTAACACTTTCAAATTTAGTGAAATTACTTTAATGTGTTAAATGGCTTATAATTAAGATCCCAGTTAACAAATTAATTGTCAACAAGATAATTGTGATAATTCTCCAGTTTCCCCCTAAATAAATATATGGTATTCAACTAGACTTTGAGGAACATCATCACTGCTTATCAAGATAGATATATTTCAGGATAAATAATAATCATTTCAATATTTATTATACTATTTCAAAATAGCCTACATTCTGACTTGAGATTCACCACTAATTAATGATGTGATCTCATAAAAGTACTAACTTAATCCTAAAACAGAGTTATTCATAGTCACCATATGCTATTTTTGAGTATAGAATCAAATCATGCATATAAATTAATAGGGCCTTTTCTGGCACATGAAAAGTATATAGAAAGAGCAATAATCATCCTCATCATTCTTAATTATCCTCACAATTCTAATAATTACCTTATTTTACA